CACACACACACACACACACACACACACACATTCTAGTACAAACTATATAACATGCAACCTTACCGATCCTTGTTATGTCTCTTATTTTTTACACTGCTGCTGTCAAGTATTTTTTCTGTTTCTTAAAAACATTTATAAATATTATGAATACATCTATACACAAGTATAAGTTAACTTTCTTATGTGAATTACACTTGGAAATGTAGTCATCACTTACAACCTGAACAAAAACGTCACTGGCGCATTTAAGTCCATAAGTCTTTCCATACCAACAAGATAACTGACATGTAAGTACAAAAAAAAAAAAAAAACTTACTCTGATATACAAGGCAGTAAGTTATTAAATGAGACCATATTTTTGTGGAAGTCGACACGTTTATTCAAATTACACAATTAAAAACTTTTCCAAGTTTTTCAAGTCTATATTTAGCATGTCAGCAGAATCTTAGTACTACAGTCATTCTATATAAAAATATTTTAAAATGTACATGTTAAATTCAAAACAGCAAAACTAATGTTACACCACAAAGATAACACAGAAGTATAGGGCTAACATGATGCTCTAGTAGTATGTCTCTCTTTCCACCCAACCTGCAAAGAGAGAAAAACTTATTTTTACTTTTACAGTTGAAAAATATAAAATGATGCACTCATACACTACTTAGACATACATTTGTATACTATTCATTTAAATCCAACAATAGAGTACATTTGATTAGAGCAAGGTTGCAGTTTCCTGATTACCTCCGGGGTTCCGTCTAAGGATGAGCTTTCTGATTTCATCATAAATAAAGATGAGAAGAGAGTACGGGAAGGCACAGAACCACCAGTTGGGCCTGTAGATAGAGCGCAGAATATAAACCAAAGAAGCAGCCAAGAAAAAACTGCATATTTATTTTATACAAATACATTTTAGCCTACTTGAGTGGGTACATTCTGAGAGCCACATCCATGCCAGGGCAATAAGACAAGAAAGCCGCCAGTGCTGTTTCCTCAAACAATCCAAAGATCAGGATTTTGTTCATTGTAGGACAAAAAATGTAGTAAACAGACAATAAATAAAAGAAAATCTCCTCAAGGACATGGCTTACGCTCATTTGTTCTCCCAGACTCACTTCATTCCCTGCTGGAAGACAGAATTACGCCTGGTCTTGCAGATAATCAGATCGGCCCACTGCACGACCACAATGCTGGCGAAGAATGCTGTGTGGCACGAGAACTCCACAATCTTACTCTGTTGATATGTCTGAGAAAACATAACATTGTTTTGATACAATCATTTCATAGTATCACTTGTGAAGACCAGTGTTGGGGGTAACACATTACAAGTAACACGAGTTACGTAATCAGATTACTTTTTTTCAAGTAACTAGTAAAATAATGCATTACTTTTACATTTACAATGAATTATCTGAGTTACTTTTTTAAATAAGTAACGCCAGTTACGTTGTTTCCCATGTATTCACTGACAGCTCTTGTGTTGCCATGTTGAGAGAAATGAGGAGTAAGTGCAGAGGTGTTGTGTGTGAAGATGATCTTACTGTAGTTCTAGACTAAATATAAACATTTACTCACATGCACAAAAACAGATTCAGTATTCCTCAAAATGAATAAAAACAGTCAAATGCAAACTCAGAATATTATACAAACCAGCAATAATTAAATATGTTAAATAAAACAAATATAATTTATGTATTTAATCTCATTTTATTAACCAATGTCTTTGCTACTGACCTTTGATGATCCAATTCAACCATACTAAGCAAAAATGACACATTTGTGTTTCATTTTTGTTATTGCTGAAAAGTGTTGAACTTTCTTCTCCTGCGTCATATTCTTCATGCGATTTGTTTGAGCTGCACCCTCTACTGTACAGACGTGAATTTACATTTCCTTCAGCCTGAGGCATAATTATTTCTCTTTTGGTTGTGAAAGGGCTTTTACCTTTGTTGTGAAAGGGCTTATACCTTTGTAAAGGAAGAACATTTTATATTAAAAACAAACAACCAAGCCCTGCCCAGATTTAAAACATAACTCAAGTAACGTAACACATTACTTTCCATAAAAAGTAACTAAGTAACGTAATTAGTTACTTTTTTAGGGAGTAACGGAACAGTGTAATGCATAACTTTTAAAAGTAACTTTCCTCAACACTGGTAAAGACTTTCATTAAAATTAAGACATTAAAATTAGGGTTTTGAAGCTTTTAGTAGATGCCTGTTAGCTTTGAGGCAAATCTAAATGCTAAAGCACACCTAAATGTTGACTACATTCAATTTTAGCCAATATACACACAAAACAAATACACAAAACAGCTTTGTCATGACTGGAATAAATTACATTTTTAAAAACGGTAAAATAGAAAACAGCTATTTTAAATTGTAATAAAATGTAACAATATTACTGTTTATACTGTATTTTAAATCAAATAAATACAGCCTGTTGAAAATGAGAGACTTCTTTTAAAAACATTAATAATTTTACCCATGCCAAATTTTGAACAGTCTTGTGTGCATTTTAAAAGGACATTCTCTTTTAGGAAGATACAGTAATACTGTTGACTCTGTATCCAAAACTATGCTCTCAAGAATGAGAATGTCCCTCCCCCTGACTAGCATGTAGCAAAGTTATGGTTCACAGCTGTGATGTAATTCATAATACATACCCACTGTTACCCATAACTGTCCTCCAGGTCATTAATA